CTACCGAAGGGATCCGGTCGCTTTGTGTGAGAAAAGAAAACCAGGCTGAAACGTGGCCAGAAACAAATGATGGGATGGTGTCACGAAAGGAGGAGGAGGAGGAGGAGAGAGGACCAGCGAGGAAGGGGGGCGACGAGGGCCGCCGTCTTCTCCTTCCTCCTCCGGAGGTTTGAGCCGCTGTGATGTGGAAAGGACCGGTCTGACCAAACTGCGGGAGAGACACAGACAGAGAGGGACAAAGAGAGAGAGTCCAGCCTGCACTCTGTCATTTACAGATGTGGAATGTGGCCGTCAGTTGGCCCTGAGCAATAATTACAGGCCATCCCTCTCTGTCTCTGTCTCTCTCTCTCTTGCTGTCAAGGCCAATCAAACAGAACCCGAGTGCACCCACAATCCTTTGCACCGAGTCCTCAGATGCAGAACAGCAGGCAGTACCCATGATTTACAAACAAAACTCTGATGTTATGCACCAACCGCCAAGTCAAATTCCTTCCTGACATATTTTGGTAATAAATGTTCCTGATTCGTGAAAAATACACACACACACACACACACACACACACACAGTGATGCCGGCACTCCAGCTGCTGCACTTGAGGCCCCCTGTGCTGATTATGATCCATTCACACAAACCCCCAAACTCATCCATTTCATTAAGTTGCTGAGCCTGTTAACGTGATGAGGACAGCAACAAACAAGCAGTGAGGGAGATGTGACGTCGCCACAGACTGCAAACGTCAGGTTGAAACGCCGGACAGCCGCTGCACAAATTCCCTGAACCAGTCGCTCGTCACGGTAAAGTGACGTCGGTATGAGACGACCCTGAGCAGGAGGATGAAGACCTCGAGATGACAGCTCAGACGGACGTATTGAGCAAAACCCTTGAGTTGAGAGGATTCTGTCACAAAAAACTAATGTCCCAAGATTAAGAATTAACTTCCAAGCTTATCTACAGTATTTCCTACTTCCTTCAAAGCGACGGTCCAGAAACCGGTAACGTGATGCTGAGAACGTCCACTTCTTATACTGTATGCAGTCTACTGAGGATCCTCACCGATCTAATTATTGCTGACATATTGAAACGTTGCTGCAACAAAACCCAAATGGGAGAGAAACGCAAGTAGATCGACGATCAAACATATTGGAGGTCAAACTAAATGGTTCCACGAGCAATCAATTAATCAATGTGTCCATCCAGTTGAAGTAGAATGACAATTACACAATTGAAAAATAATATGTTGAACAAAGCTGAAAATAACAGGCATTTAAAGTGAAACAACTACACTTCAAATATCAATGTCAAAAGGGAAAAAAGACGCGACTAAGCTGTGAGGACAGAGCACACACGAGGCCAGTTAATACTGTCACGGTTTGGGTTTGTTTGTTTGACTATTAAAGTCCTTTTTTTGTTCCCGATCGTGACAAATACAACGTGTCAAAAAGATATTGACGGACAGTTAAAAAGGAGCTGTCGCCAAGTCCGTTCTGAGGACAGCACAGTTACAATAATAATAATAGCAACCAGTGTCACTTCACCACATCAGCCGACCAACCAATCAGCCAACGGATGTTAGAATAAAATACTTTCATTTATTTGATTGATAGAAGATAAATCATCCAGGAGTCCTCTGCTTTCGGTGTAGGTTGAGAGTTTCTCAGTCAACCTGTCATGTTCATGCCCCCCGGGGGACCTACCGCATGTGCATACTGCTGTGACAGCTGACGTATGGCGCCCACAGAGTGCTGGGCGATGACATACTGACCTCTGTCATTTGACTGTTCATCACAACCGTTCCCTCGTCTGCTGCGCTCTCCTCGTCCATCCCGCAGAAGTCCAAATGCACACAGACCGACTTTTTCCCCACCAACGAAAGCTCGGGAGCTGAGCAGAAGCTGATGGGAGAGGACGCGACCAAATCGCCGCAAAACACGCAGCTCTGGCTAGACGGGAGCTGTGCACATGTCAACACAAGTCAAACGTCGTAGACCAGAGCTCCCGTCTGAAACCCTAATTGTCACTTTGTCGGCGTGTAAAAACAGGCTGCGGGGCTGTAATGTGCCGGGATGACAGTGTGGAGGACGACACTCGCGCACACACACACACACACACCGGTAATGACGGGCAGGTGACTCAGCGCAGCAGCCACATTCTTTGGGATTTTTGGACAAAGCGGTTGTTTTGGTGTGAGCACTCCAATGACGCAAAGGCGAGCGGATTACCTCGGGCCACCGAGGAGCCGGGCCGTCTCTCTGGGACGCCGAAGGAGCGCCTGTGAGCTTGTGGATCCCATTTCCACGCATCAAAAGACAGGTCGGATGTTGGCCATCAACAACTCCGCCTCCCGGCCGCACCCGGCGAGCTACCAACTCAAAACTCACCTGGACACCGATCAAACGCACGCAATATTTCAATCCGGAGAGACATTTGATCAAAGGGCAGAAAACCCCCAAAAGGGAAAGTGGCGACTACCTCCTGCTTTCCTCGGATGACAAGGTCCTAATCCTGCTTGACCTGTGAAACCACCGACCGCTCCGTCATTGGCAAAGACTTTTTTTCTTTCAAAACATGAAACTTCTCTAAATGACACATGCAAAATCCCATGGAATAACAATACCAAAATATCTTTTTATGTGTAAAATAATGTTACTGAAAAAGCTTTTTTTCCTAGTTAAATTGTTACATTAAAGTATGAAGTCAGCTCCTGTTGCCCCAAATTGAGAGAATAAATGAAAACCTCTCTTTAAAACGTTTTTCTTTTTTATTCTGAAACGAGATTCAATTCAATTTTGCTGCAAATGTTTCTTTTTCATCCTTACCGTGAAACACGTTGTGCACTGTATTTGTCCATATTGCTCCGTTCATTCAGCCAGCAAGTTTCTCTCAAACAAGAATAAATTGTAGGTAACATTTACTGACTAATGGACTTTTTAGAAAAACAGGCCTCGACAGAACTGTATTGATGTTTTATTTATTTTGAGGGGGGGTAAACCTGGGTTCACTAAACGGAAATTCGATTTGAATTGTGAAATTGAGCTTTCCTTAATTTCAAATTTGTATGTGGCTCATTTTAAGCCTAGTTTTGCTAAACTCTGCTTGGAGTAAATTCAGATTAAATCTCCCCCTTTTTGTGCAGCCCAGCCTGTAGTCTCTCTCTCTCTCTCTCTCTCTCTCTCTCTCTCTCTCTCTCTCTCTCTCTCTCTCTCTCTCTCTCTCTCTTCAATGCAACATAAATGCTGGTTCAGAGCCTGAGCCAATGGAGCAGCTGTCAAAGCAAATTAGAGCAGAACCCCCCTCCCCCCCCCCCCCCCCCCCCCCCCCGGCTCATCCTCCTCTGTCCTTCCCCCCCTCACCTTTTTCTCTTTCTCTTCCCAGCCTTCCTTTGCGCCTGCTCACTACCCTAACCCTACCTTAATCCTCCCCTCCGCCCCCTCTCCCCCCATCTCCTCCGTCCCTCCCTCCAATCTCCCCACTGTCTTCCCGTCTCTCTTCATTCACCCGGAGACTGAGACACAAACACTCCGGAATGCAAATAAGGAAAGAGATGCGTGAGCATCACTCAGGAGACGCGGGTGAAATGTTCTGTATGCACACACTTGAAAAGCTTCACCACGCATGTGTGTTCATAGATTACACACAGGACCACTGATCTGATATGTGTGTGTGTGTGTGTGTGTGTGTGTGTGTGTGTGTGTGTGTGTGTGTGTGTGTGTGTGCGTTCCCATGGGATTCAGGCAACAGAGGTTTCTGTTCCCACATACGCACAATACAACTATCCTCACCACATGTGTAACCCGGCCGTTATCCAACGCCCTCATGTGCCTCGGATGGTATCAGTGTTGGACAACTAATCTGTCATGCTGGATGCTCCCGACTCCCCGTGATCAAACTCCTTGCAGGGACGCAAGCGGCACTGAAAAAGCCTTTCATCAGAACCAGCGGTTCTTCTCGGGGGGTTAGGGATTATACCATCGGATCACAAAATGAGCACTGAAATGGGAACGCTGTTCTGTGCTGCAGCCAAACCAAACCAATTAACACTGGTGAATTTGTTCAGTGACGACCAGACCAATGAACTGCTGCCAGTGAATCGCCTACATGCTGAGGGAAGACAGGCCACCGGGGGTCGTTGCAACAGCATCGTTTCCTCCCAACGAAACAGTTAAGGCGATGGGGGGATGCTACTTCAACCTGATGTCATTAAGAGTATCAGTGTGACACTGACGCGCTGTTGGAATGGAATTGGAAAGCATATTACTTTGGATACTTTCAGCTTGACAGACACTCGCTGCATCCCTCTAAAATGAGTCTGTATCACAGCTGGAAGCAAAGGGAAGGAATAAGGCGTCGTGGTGTGAAGCCTTTTCTGGTGAAATAAACAGTGGGAGAAAATATTGTATATATTAAGGCCCCAACAAAGATGTGTTGTATCATAGTGTAGGTTTACAATAACCAATCAATTGTTTGGTTAATAAAACATTTCAGGATGATATGTTAACACCAGCCACAGTCAAAAAACAGAGGGATGCTGTTTTCAGAATTATTAAGAAATTCAGAAATATCACTATGATATTAAATATTAAAAACAACTAGATTTTAAAAGTTTATCAATTCCTTGTCAATAACAATGAATAATGATATTAATCAACTTAATTATTTGGCCCCTTTGCCTCAAAAACATTTGAATCAATCACTGATAATGTGATTTTGTTGATAATACCATCATGCTAAATAGTCATTTCTAGATGTAATATTCATCCAGTATTAAGATAATTGAGCGGCAAAACCATTAAGAAACTTGTGGGCTGAAGAAAGCTCACTGGTGGGATGTGGTCTTTCAGTGCATCATTACCGAAAACTTTCACAGCAATAGTTCAGTGAATTTATTAACACAATAACAAAGGTGGAGTAAGGTCGCAGCTTTGTGATGATACCATGTAATTACCGCTGGGCATCGCAGAGAAACCCACCAGCTCGTACTTCAGCCCTGCGACCTCCTTACCTGGATGACAGCTGGCACCGTCGGGGAGATCCGGCGCGGCGGCGCAGGCACCGTGAGGAGCGTGCGGGGCGTGCGGGGCGGGCGCGGTCCCGGTGTTCTGGCGGGTGTCTCCGCCTCGGCTGACTCACCTCCCCGCTGCAGCGGCTCCACCGGCTCCGGTCAGCCTCCCTTCAGCTGCAGCAGACGCCACAGTAAATCCAACCCGGAGCGCAAAGGTTAACCCGCTGGCCGTCGGATGTGTCTGGGAACGCACGCACGCACGGGCCGGTTGGTTCGGGGTGGCCGGTCTGGAACGCAGCGGCGGCGCAGACGCAGGCTCGCCGCTCGCTCCTCTCTCGGTCCTCTCCTCCCCGCGCGTATGTGCCTGCGATGCTGTGCCGCGCGGTGCCGTTCCGCTCCGTGCTGTGCTGGAGCGACAGGAGCGCGACAGGACACACAAAACACGCCCCGCCGGGCCGCCACGCTCCGACAGGACCCGCCTTCTACCGTAATACTCAGTGGAAAGCCTCCGTCCAAAAGACGCAACTACTGCCAGGTTCAAGGTTGCGTTTACAGGCAGCAGCAAGCCCATCAATGAATAATAACAAGCACAATAGACACAAAATAACAATCAACACAGATCGTTATATAAAGCAGGTAATACATTTAAAACTTTGTATGGCCGCCATCCTAACAGCACCTTTGGTAAATAGCTGAAATGGGTTTATGGCCAATGCAGTGGTGTCAAAATAGACAAAAGGTCCAAACTAAATTCAACCTCTCACCTTTGCAACCTCTCACAACATTGCAAATCAATGCATGAATTTTCATGTGGAAAGTTTCCGATCCGTAGATGTACTGTGTGTCACAAGGACATCACAAATTAATAATACTATAATTATCATAAATGAAATAACTTGTTTTTGGTCCAAATTAGTACATGAAGTTATAATGTGGGATTTGTTTCAATCAGTGGACGGTTTGCCTCCTTTTAAACTTTCCCATTTTATAAAAAAAAGTCATTTTAAATCATTCTATGAATATAATAAGAAAAAATGAGATCTTTTAACGCATTGAATCTCTTGTATATTTGAACTTTCTTACTTTCCCTTTTTTATGTTAATATTTGTATAACATGGTTTGCATAACATGGTTAAAGATGTCTATAGTCAGTAGGACAGTTTGGTGCCGCAATACAGCCTCTGTGATGGATACCCATGAATATTGGGTGAAAAAAAGATATGCATGCATAAAACTGACACAATAGCCGACACAATGAAGGTGGAGTACGATGTAAAGCAACCCATGTCATTTCAACCATTGTGAACCAGATGTCGGGCGGGTTATTACAGAGTGCCATTAGCCTACATGAAAAGGTCAGAGAAGCACACACATCAATCGTGAATGGCGACAGTACAGCTTCTCCAATAGATGCTTTGAATGGGGTCAACTGTGAGACTCTGGGGGTCTGTACCAGTTACTCTCAGGATGATAGATGAACGCGACGCTCCCCTTCCCGCTTCGTTCGCCGCTGAAATGCTGATTGGGGAGCTTCGCTGTCGCATCGCCGCGTTACCTTGGATGTGTTTGACGTGAGCGCCGCCCGCCATCAGTCATTCTGACAGCCAATCAATCAGCCGGCCAATCAGGTGAGAGCTCGAGTGAAAGATGGCGTGGATCTTGGGGACGCTGAAGGTTTGCACACCTGCTGTGCACAGAACAGCTCAGGCCTGTCTCCGTTTCATCCTTTGCAAAGGGACAGTGAGGTGAGCTTTCCCATAATACGTTGTCCTGTTATACGGGAGGTATGGACGACTGAACTCTACTGGGATTTTTTTACAGTTTCAACCGCACATGTTGCCCCTGCGGCGCTGTGGGGGTTTGTCTTTGTGGGATTCATACATCAGCATCTCCTTTGTGGCAGATGATATTATAGCTGACGAATGCTGCCAACTAACCCCGCGACCGACCCTTCCTCAAGTATGTCGACCCCTAACGTTACAATGTCAATATGCTATTCATCAAAGGACTGGAACCACACATTTCCAAAAATTCAAGATGTAATATGGTGGTAAACAAGTAGAAAACCCTTTTGCCAGGATGCTCTATGAAAATACATTTTAAGGACCACCTACAGATAAGAATTAAGACTGTAACGTATTGGATCAAAACATTGAGGAACGTTGGAAATTGGTGAGCGGGGTTGCAGGTATGACTTCAGGGTCTCTGCTACACGCTGCACAATAAATGGCTAAAGTGCGGAGTTGCCACTAGGGTGTGGAGGCCATTAAGCAAAGTGTGTGAAACAAACTACGAGGCATCGGAGGAGCGGTCGCTCTTTCTATGGTTTCTCTCAACAGACCAAAACATTTTTTGCATTATTCGGAGGGAAAGTAAAATTGTATTTGATCCTTATGCCGAGGAAATTTCAGAAGTTAAAAAAGAATAACAAGCTGTATATGAGTCACAAACACTCCGTAATGTTTCAAAAAATGTGTGGTTTGAGATATTATAGCATTATTCCAGGTCTGGTCCGGTTGAAGTCACAGGTCCTTTCTGTCCATGTAAAGTTGAGTTTCAGTTGATTCATCACATGAATGACTTCAGTCATACTTGAAAAGTCATGTGATTGAAATCTGCATCTCTTTCATGAAGTGGAGGAATAATTAAGACAAACAAGATCTATCCCCATGTGCATGGGACATGAAATAAATACATTCATATATTTATTCAGGAGTATTTAAAAATGTTGAACCCATCGCTTCAAAAAGAAAGACATTCTACTTTGAATTTAGTTAAAAAATAAAATGATATATACTTGAATTTATAAATGAGAAAAATATTGATTTTTTTCAGCCTTGCTTAAAATGTGAAGGGTGTTTATTACAAGAGTTACGGTAGAGTTAATAACAAACCATCATCTCCACAGTACACAAGCGGTGTGTACGTGCGCATTAGGTGTGTGCAGGTGTGCACTCAAGAGCTTGTATTCATGTGTGTCCCCAGGTGGCTGTTGAACTGTATCCTGATGACACAGTGGAAACTTCACACACACACACACACACACACGCACACGCACACGCACACGCACACACACACAGGGTTTGGCATTGGGGCTCCTTGGCATCTAAGATGTAGGAAGTGAAGCGCAGCATTGATGCCGAGTCTCACAACTACACAGAGGAAACAGACAAAACAACCCCCCAAACGCCCAACGCCCTCCCACACACGCAACACAACGCTGCAAGCATGGACCTAATAACCACAAACAAATTCAGATGGTTAAACACTGCATCAGCTAATGGCGGTATGACCACCCCCCTGACTTCATGACATGACGAGAGAAACAGAGGAGCATGTGTGTGTGTGTGAGTGTGTGTGTGTCCATGTGTGTGTGAGAGACAGAGAGGTTTGGTGCCAGTGAGCTGATAAGGGTGTGATAGCGCTGACACAGGGAGGCTCATGGGACAAAACACAGATACAAAGACTCGCACTGACAGGCCTCTACACACACGCAAACACACACTATACACACACACACACACACGCCCGCGCACAGTTAGCGGACTGCGGGGGTAAATGTCGAGGCACTTTATTACATGACATATGTTTCTTCCATGCCGTCGCTGCGGTACCATCAAACAAGTCTTGTTCTGTGCGTGCATCACACTGTGTGTGCGTGCACGCGTGTGTGTTTGTGTAGCCGATGTAGAACGTTCATAAATGGGCGTAATGGGCTCCATATGGTGAAGTGGGAGAGCCGGAGCAGAGTGTGTCAGGGAGAAATATCACCCCTGTCTCCTCCTTTCACACGCCGCCGAGCTTAGCGCACGCAAACGTGCACGACTTCCTGTTGTGATAGAGATGCTGCTTCTCCAGACGGTGTTTGCGTGTCAGTGCGGCGTGTTGTCAAATGGAAACGATTAAAAAGGAGAAACACCGAATTTTTGCTCGAGAGAAACGCGGGGCTGATTACTACAGTATGTACATTTATTTACTGTATACACATTTGGGGTTATTAAATATTTCCATCAAATCATTTCTTTACTATTAGGCTACATAACTGTACCATTACTATAACATTCCGCTTGGCATAAAGAAGAGATATAACTACAAATCCGTGATTCAAACGAGTACCTCAGCCGGCTGTACAAATGTATGATGCCCCCCTCATTCGTATGCATATACAAATTGAATGCGTACTGTGGATTTACTGTATAACAGTGTATTTGTGCTAAACAAACGTTACACGTATACGTTGTGAACATGCCTACGTGGGCGCGTCCTACCGTCTTAAAAATACCGTTTAAATAGCCGTAAAACACCACAGTTGGCGAATGGTGCAATCGCTGTCTGCATGCCTCAGCACTGCGCCAAAAACGCTCAACCACTTTGATTTATGACCAGTGCGAGTGCAAAACAAGAACGCAGCCCTGGACGGAAACTAGCTTCACTCGGGGTGTAAGACAAGGCCCAACGTCTCTGGTTGTGTGGAAGTCAATGGAAGTCAATGGGAGTCAATCTACTTGTGTCTTGATTTTGTCCCACGGTTAACATTGTAAACAAGAGTTAATGGTCTCAACCTCTTCTCCAATGCAGCAGGCTGTTTATTTAGTTGATGACGGTTCACTTAGAGTCAAACACATTATCAAGCACAATGGGCTTCAGGGCGGGCTTACTGTGATTGACACGTCGCTGTTGCTACCAGAGCCGTGCGCGTCACTGCACCGCCCTCCAAATACAGCAACCTTTGTTCATCAGTGGCAGAAAAACAATAAGACGTCAGCAAAGCAATGAACGTCTGCTGCTACGCGTTATACAACCTGTCGGGGTTAAGGCTTGAAACCGACGACGCATGCTGTCATTTCTCTGGGGGCCATTAGAAACATTACTGACTGATGATTGGGGGGCAAACGCAGTCAAAGTGGATGAAAAGTATTTCAATCCGGAGAGACTTGTTGAAATTTGAACAATGCTTTATAATAACAGGTATAATATGATGAAGTTATTTGGGGCTTGGACACGGGGCCGGGATCTCGAGCCGAGACGAGGCATATCCCCCCCTCGGGAGTCCAGACACTGGTGGTGGTAGAGCCCAAGTTGCATAACTCTCTTGCTATGCCAGGTTCTGCTGTAGATTGGAGGTGTCCGGGGTGGTGGCGGGTCACCTTTGGTGCTTGCTGAAATGACAACTGACAGCAAAAGAGAGGAGAACAGTTTTTAACGTTTGCCTGCACCAATGCGATTGGTTTACGGTAACGACACCCACGCCTGATACTACCCGACCCCGCCCCTAATCAGCTGGCCGTGCCCCCCCAGGGAGAGAGGAGGCCACCAGGGAACGGCACAGCCTGTCCAGTCTTCCTGACTGAATTTTCGCCTAAGCTTCATTTATTTGGTTTTGGATGTTCAGAGAATTGTTTTATTGCTGCAGTTTGTAA